CTCGTGCGCGGTGGCCCCGGGAGTCGTGTCAACGACCGCATCCTTGTGCGTGGTCTCCTTAACATTCTCAATGATGTCAACGACGGCGTTCTCGTCTGTAATCTCCTCGGCCTTCTCAATAGCATCAATGATGGCGTTCTCGTGCACGGTGTCCACGGGAGTCATGTCAACGATGGCATCCTTGTGCGTGGTCTCCTTGGCGTTCTCAGTAACGTCCACGATGGCATTCTCGTGCGCGGTGGCCCCAGGAGTCGTGTCAATGACCGCATTCTTGTGCGTGGTCTCCTTGACATTCTCAGTAATGTCAACGACCGCATCCTTGTGCGTGGTCTCCTTGACATTCTCAGTAATGTCAACGACGGCGTTCTCATCTGTGATCTTCTTGGCCTTCTCAATAGCATCAACGATGGCGTTCTCGTGCATGGTGTCTCCGGGAGTCATGTCAATGACGGCATCCTTGTGCGTGGTCTCCTTGGCGTTCTCAGTAACGTCCACGACGGCATTCTCATGCGCGGTGGCCCCGGGAGTCGTGTCAACGACCGCATCCTTGTGCATGGTCTCCTTGGTGTTCTCAATAACGTCAACGATGGCGTTCTCGTGTGCGGTGGCCCCGGAAGTCGTGTCAATGACCGCATCCTTGTGCGTGGTCTCCTTGACATTCTCTGTAATGTCAACGACGGCATTCTCGTCTGTGATCTCCTTGGCCTTCTCAATAGCATCAACGATGGCATTCTCGTGCGCGGTGGCCCCGGGAGTCATGTCAATGACAGCATCCTTGTGCGTGGTCTCCTTGGCATTCTCAGTAACGTCAACGACGGCGTTCTCGTGCGTGATCTCCTTGGCGTTCTCAATAGCATCAACGACGGCGTTCTCGTGCGCGGTGGCCCCGGGAGTCATGTCAACGACAGCATCCTTGTATGTGGTCTCCTCGGCATCGGGAACATGGCTGAAAAACTCGTGGCTCTTTTTGAACTGGGATTGGAACGCGATCTCAACAGTGATGGTACGTCCCTGAACCATCTTGTTCTGCAGCAGTTCAATGGCCTTTTGCTGGTTCTCCTCATTACCAACGTCTACGAATCCACAGCCCTTGCTCTTGCGAGGCTTGCCCCATCCCTTACGCATGATCCGAGCATAGTTGACGAGAATACCTGTGCGGGTGAAAATTCGACCGAGACCCTCGTCGTCAATGCTGAAACACAGGTTTTTGACAAATAGGGTGGTTTTAGATGGCCTTTTCGTAATATTCTCGCCACGACCAATAAAGGGCGGTGGCCCTGGCCTAGGCTTCTTTGCGACTGGCTCATATACAGTTCCTTCTGCTGGGTGCTCCCCATCTTTGCTGGATGAATACTTGCAAGCATTGGATTTACGCTAACAAGCAGATGGTGATTTATTGTGCGCAATGTCTACAGGCCACTAACTCACATGGTCATACTTTCTCTGCTTCACATTTGCAGTGTCTTCGACATGAATGGAGCCTTTACAATCATCGGACAACGCATTAGTGCACGATCACCTCTTTGGCTGCCTCTCCTTACCCTTGTGCTTACGCGATTTGCTGGCCTCGATAATAATTTGACGGCCATCCAGCTCTTTTCCATTGAACAGTAGAGCAGCCTTCTCCACAGCCTCAGCGGTGGTCATCCAGACGAAGCCATAACCTGCAGAGCTGGTGCGCTGCATGATTATCCGGGCATACAGTCTGGCAAGGCATAGGATCAGGATCATGAGTGTATGTATAATTGAGTGCAGTGACGAACGTACACATCGCTCTGCATCGGAGAAAAGAACGCTTTCAGTCGTTCATCTGTAACAGTGTGTGCAAGGTTGCCAACATAAACCTGAGGCGGATGGTAAGAAATCGTTCTGCAAACTTGGAAGGGCTCTACCGAAAAGTTTGCCATTCGCTCGACAATGTCCTCCTGCGTACCTAGACCCGAAACGGTGCAGCTTATGGCTGAAGGATCTATCATTGCGAAGACGAGAAGATGCTATCTTTGAGCAAGTGTGCAGGAAGAGCACGCAGCGCGGTATGGAGTACTTGCCTTTATGCATCGATCGCTTGCCTCTTATGCATGTTGCAATTTCTCACGGTTGATATCTGTGGCAAATCAAAGCAAAATGTAAGAAGAAGTTGTGGGGCGAGGGGGGATCGAACCGTGCACTCCAGTTCATTCCACATCAGTCAGCAGCAGGAGCAAACTTATCACATACTGTCAGACCTATCCAACTGTACCAAGGACCCTCAATCAATTTTCGAGTAGTTGTAATCAAGAGCAATTGCTGAACAGACGGGATCCGGATCGAGCCAGTGTGTCTCTATTTGATGGGTTAGCTGATCGGCGATCACTCAATGATTGTCAATTGTCCACTGGGTAGTGCCCGTTTTACCCAACGCGCCATCACGAATAGCGTCCATCTCTCGAATACATTACTCAGACGACAGTCAAAAAAGAAAAGGCAGAAGCATGTCATTCAAAATAAATGGGAAGTCAGGCTGGGAACCGAAGAAGACTGAGACAAGGTTGAGGGTGGCGCTTATCGCTGCCCTGGCAGCTTGCGCCATTCGTGCGCGTTGCTAATCATATCGCACACCACTTCAAGTGTTCACTCTTGTCGTCGCCGATGACAGCGTACAAAGCAATGAAGGCCGACATCGAGAAGGCTTCCCTTCTGGAGGACGCCCAATCGAGCGAGGAACCTGCGAAGACTCGCCGTACCATCGGATGCAGACTCACGAGGGCAGTTCTCATATTCTACGCCTTCGTCACGGTGTATGTGCTGGCAAAGAGGGTGTTCCTCAAACACCACCCTGGACTAGACAGTGAGGCCGATACTCCCGGCTCTTGGGCGTTGGATCTCGCGGTCAATCCTGCGCATCCAAGGTTGTCTGGGAAGAAAGCAGAAGAGCTGTTTCTGTATGTTCGGCCTTCGCATTGAACTGATTGTCAGGCCCTTATCTTCTATAGGGCGACGCCTGAACCGGCCAGCGCATTCGCTGCGTCCCGTGCTTATGCAACCCACCCTCACCTCGCAGGCTCGTCCGAGGACTTCGAGGATGCCAAAGCAATTCTCCAGCTCTTCCGGTCTCAATTTCACATCCACTCTTTCCCTGGTGCACCAGACCCCATCTTCCCCACAGGATCTCGTGCCTCCCGTGCCATGACTCTCGGTATCAACAAGCATCGTACTCCCTATGCGTGGATCGATGTCTACTACCCCGTCATGAACACATCTATCAGCCACAGTTTAGAGCTGTTGGATGAAGAGGCAGGCAAAGCCGTGTGGACTGCTGAGCTGGAGGAAGACGGTGACCCGCGTGACCCTGAGGTGGCAAAGTACCGCGTTGCGGTCCCAGTATGGCATGGACTGAGTGCGGACAGCGAGGCCGAAGGAGAGCTTGTGTATGTGAACTATGGCCGGAAGGAAGATTACGACGAGGTGCTCGCGAAGGGAGGGAACTTCACTGGGAAGGTTGTGCTTGCGCGTTATGGAGCGATCTTCCGTGGGCTTAAGGTACGAGACATGTATTATTCCCCACTTCAAGGTTGGTAATCAACGTTTCCCCCCCAGATTCAACTCGCTCAGACTCATGGTGCGGCTGGTGTGCTGATTTACTCGGATCCGTGTGACGACGGGAGCGTGACGGTCAAAAACGGGTACGCGCCTTACCCCGAAGGGCCCGCGCGCAACCCATCTGCGGTGCAGCGCGGTAGCGTACAATTCATCAGCGCGTATCCCGGTGACCCGACGACGCCCGGACGGCCAGCGTACAAGGATGCGGAGTGCGACGAGGGTACGAACATCCCCAAGATTCCGAGTTTTCCGATTGGATGGGGGAACGCGCAGAGATTGCTGGAGGAGCTGGGCGGGACAGACGAGGGAAGAGTCATTAATGGAGAAGCTAGTAAGCGGAAGGTGAAGCTGGTGAACCGAGGTGCGTGATGGATTAGATAGCATGAGTTGCGTTGCCCGAGCTCATGGTTTGTAGTGGACAACAAGGTGACACCGATCTGGAACACCATGCTGGCCATCCCGGGCCACATCCGCAACGAGACCGTCCTCCTTGGGTGTCATCGTGATGGTGAGCCAGTCAGATGCATCTCTTTTGTAACGATGTTCATACGTGGTTATCAGCTTGGGTCATGGGAGGCGCTGATCCTGTTTCTGGTACTGTCTCACTTCATGAGGTCATCCGAGGGTTCGGTGCGCTGTACAAGAGCGGCTGGAGACCCCTGAGGAATATCGTGATTGCTAGCTGGGATGCGGAGGAGGTATGGATTTACTACTGCAAGTCTTAGAGTTTGACCACCGATTCTGGCTATCAGTATGGCCTCATCGGAAGCACTGAATGGGCGGAGAACTTTCCGGAGTGGATTTCCAAAAATGTGGTGGCGTATCTCAATGTCGGTGCGTTACTACGCCTGACATATCACACTGTCCAGTGGCGACTTATAACTCCATGCATACACCCACAGATGTCTCCGTATCCAGTTCCCGTTGGGGCGCCTCTGCATCGCCTTCACTCGCGCATCTAATCCGCCAGTCTGCCAAGGATGTGCCGCACCCGACGATTGCCGGAAAGACACTCTGGGATGCCAAAAAGGATGCAGGCACATTCGAAGGCGCAGTCGACGAGGAGTTCCTGCAGATTTACGAGGCGGCGCATGCGTCAGAGACGGGTGTGAGCCTGTTGGGCTCAGGTAGCGACTATACGCCATTCTTGCAGAGACTTGGGGTGGGTGGCATGGTCTCTGTTCTCCAGCAATAGAGCTGATAGTCCAATCGATCTAGGTCGCGAGCATGGACCAGGGCTTCGGTGGCACGCCGACTGATGCGCCCTACCATTACCACTCGATCTATGACTCGCAAGCGTGGCAAGAGCGCTACGGGGATCCTGGCTTCCATCGCCACGTATGTGAATTTGTATTTCGCAGATCGTGCTTGGTTGACAGGGCGTGCAGGTTGCTGTGGCTAAGCATATGGGCTTAACCGCTCTGCGCATCATCGATGCCATCGTTGTGCCGCTCAACACCACTCAGTATTCGCTAGAGCTTGATAGCTACCTCGACAAGTGCGTATTCACTACGTGATATCGCGGTGCGGAGTATGCTAATGTCTGTCGTCTATAGGGTTGAAGACATTGCCTCCTCGCTCGCTATCACTCCCGACTTCACCAACTTGCGAAGCTCCATCGCCAGCCTGCAGTCAGCAAGCGAAGCTCTCGATGTCGAGAAGGCCGACACAGAGAAGAAGTTCAAGGAAGCTCTCGACAAGTTGCCCATCAAGGAGAGTCATTGCTCTGGCAAGATGGACCACCCGCACCTGCCAGACTGGCTCAAGAAGATCCTGCACAAGATTCATCGCCACAGGAAGGACAACCCGCCCAAGGATATCGAGGACTTCATTAAGGCTGCACAGCGCATGGAGAAGGTGAACGTGAAGCTGAAGGCGTTCGAGGCAGGGTTCATCTCGGAAGAGGGTATCAACGAGCGAGAGTGGTACAAGCATCTGGTCGTGGCACCGGGGAAGTACCTCGGTACGTCACAGTGCAGAACAATTTTTGCTTGCCTTCATCTCTGACTGTGGCCGCGTTGCACAGGATACGGAGCTACAATGCTGCCTGCCATCACCGAGGCACTCACCCTCGAGAAGAACATCACTCTAGCAGAAATCGAGGCCAAACGGGTGTCGAAGCTTATCGACAACCTCGCACAAACGATTGCAGTGTAATATGTATTATGTTATCCACCATTTGGAACACTCTAGAAGTACACTGAGGAATTGTCTTGGAAATAGACTCTTGACGAGTTCGAGCGGTGGCATCGTTCGAAGGGTCGATCTCTGTAAGTGATGGCGGGGTCCCTCGTCTGAGGTCCGTCCTCGAGGGCGCTGGCCACTGTGATGAATTGCATCTCACGGCCCTGCGAGACTGCACAGTCAGGAGGGATGCCTTCATCCGGGGCTGTTGGCTGCAGCAATCTTTAGCGTGTGGTTATCAGTGCACAAGCTGATACAAACCTTGCGGGTGCTCGAGGAGGACGGCGCTGACGCGTCGTTCCAGTTGTAGTCGCTCAGTGTTACACGGCCGAGGTCTTTAGATGCCAGACATTCACGGATGTGAACCCGAGCGTTAAGAGTGCGCAGGATGCCGAGCGTGTACCGCTTGGCAGTGAGGAGGATGAAGAGGAGGTCAAGGTGTCTGGGATCGGTTATCTAAAAGCGTCGGTGAATACTCCGCTTCTGGCCGTGAACGACACACATCTAAATTCCATTACCTCTCTGCTGCAATAGAAGACCGCTGCGATGATCGTGCACGTGCTGGGCAGGGCGGCCGTCTCCCAGGTGAGCACGATGATGTTCCTGAGCATCTTGTCGAGGTAGGTGAGGCCCGTTTGGATCTTCCATAGGTACATCGACACTTCATCAGGGTGTTAGCGAGTGAAGGGTCGTCTGGATGGGAGACCTACGAATGCATGTGAAGGAGATTGAGAGAGTCAGCGAGCCGAAGACCCATAGCGGGAAAGCCCAGTGACAAACTTTCAAAGGCTATATGACGGTAATCAGTGAACAGACCTTTGGCCCTAAGTGCGGTCAACCGCTCACGTCCGCATAGCCACTAGCGATACTGATAGTCGTTGCTATTCGCACAGCCTAAAGCTAGGCATTGAGTTGCCTGGAGTATTCGCAGTTAGCGAGGACACTGACCAGATAGATGTTTGCCGTGAAAGTCGCTAGGGCCAGTGATCTGAGCCCAGCGAGTACGAGATAGCTCCGCTGTGTGGACTACAAATTGGTAAGCCTACGATTGCTGCTGACAGTGGCAATGGGCCTGCTACCTTCCAGCACCTTCTTATGAGGAACCCTTCGCACATGATGCAAATCAGGCCATTCAACAGGAACTCCGTGCTATACAGCGGGACGATGTACTGTATACCCCCAATCAGGATAACCGAGAATTCTTGCACAGGGAAGAGAAGGCAAACCCAATGCAGATGGTCGATGACCTCCATCCAGACCTTGTACGTCTCCAGTACCGTCTGCAGACTTGGCGCTGTTCAGTATAAGCCCGATCGTATGACGCAATCGAGATGCTTACACAGAAGAGAACACTAGACTTGCGACATACAAGCGCAACCGTGCAGAATCATTGGCACAACGCGAACAGAACTTCGCACCCTGTATCGGTCACAAATAAGTATTGCATACATCCACGCCGCGTTTCGATCACTCACCTGCGATAGAATCACTCCTTTTCACAAGTGGAAGGTGTTTCAGGTTGCCTTAGAGGCCCGGTCAATGTCTATTAACGTACCTTGCAGGAGATACTGCCGTAAGCCTTGCATCAAAATCGGCCCTTGTGTGCCTGCATCAGGCGGGCTGATTGGGCTAGTGATGTTCATGCCGTACAGAAGGCGTAATAGCTGGAGCTTGGACGTGAAACAATGTGGATCTTTTGTCGCTCTATCACGATTTCGGCCATTAGCAGAAGATAAAATTAGTGCGACCATACGTCTGGCCCTGAATGCGTGTGGTGTCTCTCCATTGGCAGTCTCGATCACAATTCATCAGCTTTCGGCACCCAAAGGCACAATCCGTGCTTGCAACATTGTGCACCAATCGATCCATCCTACACAACTGTCGTCAGATGAGGGATCCCGCCCCATGTATTCGCACCTCGCACAGCATCATGCTTGATATTACTGGTACATCCGTGACACTGTCAAGCCGTGTCCTTCTGGTCAATTCATCATATCTTTCGCAGCAAACAGATGTCTAGTCTGAGCTCTGCTTCTCCAGCACGCACTGCTTCAGCATCTCCCAGGCAGTGGGATGCTTCTCCTTCCAGTGCTGCGCAAGCTGCTTGATAGGCGCATTCACGGATGGCTCAGGAGGTTCTGAAAATGCACCTGCTTTGTGCCGAGCCCTACGCGCCCATTCCCGAATGCTGATCAGCGCGATTGACTGTAGAGTAAGACGGGATCATCGACATACTCGCACATCCAGCACCAGAGCTTCCCGCTGTTCTCCTCATCCTTGTCCGTGATGAAAACTTGGTCGATGAACTCTTGCAGCCAGTCGCTCGGCAGATCATCCTCCTGAGGCTTCACCTCTGCCTCGTCATCGTCCGTTAGATCAATAACCTGCACATCTTTCATCCCGTGAACGGATTGTGCTGGCTGTTGGCTGATCTCCATGGCATTCATCGCCGTGGTGGGCGGTACCATACTGCCACTACTTGGAACAGGTCCATTCGATGAAGATACTGCACTGGGCCCTGCAATTTCAGAAGGATAGCTCGAAGGGATGTCCATCTTCCTCGGGATAAAATGTATTGATTTTCCGAAGAAATTAGGCAGTGCTAAGATCAACCAGATACAGTGAGAAATGCTATGACACATCATAGGTAGCATCTATCAGTCGTTACCATTTTGTGGCTGTTGAGAAGGCGGGGCCTGCGGCGGCATTATAGGAGAATGTGCAGCCAGCTCCGGCGGTGGTGCATGCTGTCTCAAACGTGAAATCTCCGCTCTCAACATGTCGTTCTCGTGTATCCTGTGATGTGCATACCACCTGTAAGCATAACTGCACAGAAAATTGGTAATCTGAACAGTGTACATACGCGTGCTGATGCTGTGCTGTGAGCTCGTTGTGCCGGACGAGGAGCCTGTTATAATCTGCCTCGATCTCCTGGATCCTCTGCTGCAGCTCACGCACGACATTCGCATCCTGTACATGTGTGCGAGGTGTCCTGTTCACTCCGCTGCCACTCTCCACTGGCCTGCCTGCCACGATGCGCTCGTTCTGTGCGGCGACCAACTGCGCGAGCTTGCTGTTATCGTGGAATAGTCGCGCATTCTCGTCGCGCAGTCAGTTGAGCCAGTCGCGCTGTGCACGTAGCTCGATCAGAAGGCCCGGACTATATCCAGTCTCGCTCAGAAAGGCGTTGATGGTGTCCGCCAGAATGGATTGCACGGCTTGAGGGACCAAGTCAGGCTCTTGTGCAGCGGTTGTCAAGGGTCCGGGATCACCGACAGTGTTTTCCGCGTCGAAGTTCATTGCAAAATGAGTAATATCGCTGATGAACGAAACGTATTTGGTTGAGTACGAGATCAATCTTGCGGGGAGAAAACACGATGTAGTGTGCAGTTGAGTTGTGATCGACGGCAGTGATCGGCACCAATGCAGGACCCCTGGTCCTCTTGCCAGCTCCAGGAGGTTCCTTACTTTTCCTTACTGCATCCAACTAAACATGCAGCAGTAATTTTCCGGACAATGATGCAACTGATAGGATACTTCCTTACTGGCTGTACAATATCTTCTTTCTGATGCAATCAGGTCTTAAAACATGAACACGGTCACGTGACACCCATGTGGTGAGACCCCATCACGTCGTGTCGCGTCGGCCCTCAGGCGTGTTCGAAATGAACTGTAAATCGCTGCTCGTTTGACGAAATCAAAAAAGCGGACTCGAGTATGCCTTGAGGGTGTAGCACCAACGATGGCATCGGTTCACATTCACTTCTTCCTATTCCGTGCCCGGCCACATGCTTTTGCAGTACATTATTCCCGTGGCAGTCATTTCAACATGCTGTAGGTTGGACGAAATGCACATTAATATTTGCCATAAATATGATGAGTATCCAGAGAAATACATGTGACATTGACCGAAAAACATCACAAGCTAAAGAAAGTCCGACTATCTCAAACCTTTAGGACATCTTTGAACCAGTTCCCTATCCCTGCCTTCCACCGGAACTGCTCTGGAAGAAGTTGGAATGCCTACTAGTATGCCTAGCAGGACGAGGTGGAGGCAAGCTAACAATGCAAGAGCATCAGAACCAGGAAGTGTGGGATAAGAGGCTGCACTTACTTGAATAACTCATCGTCATGAATGAATGAATATTCCGCACGTCTATGAAGATCTTCTAGTTCGACCGGATGCAGTCGTCGGAGCCACTCTGGATTGTAAGTATTACCTGGCAATCCAGGCACTGGGCGACGGCTGCTGTAATCCTGTGGACGAGCAGAATTAGGCAGGATAGCAGTTCGTACACGTGGAAGGGCGCCGCGGTCATCCTCCTGCAAATAAAATTTCGAGAAACGGTATGTAGTGTCGAAAACTCGCAACCAGCTATTGAGTGCTGGGCTCCTCCACGGCATAATTGATATGCGATACTGTCGCACTCCCAAACCCATATCGACGGGATCGGGCTCGTCAGAGCTCATACCGTCCGGTCCGAGGTCTCGCAGGACGTTCACATGCTTCCGCAGTTGAGCAGTATTTACAGCGATTTTGAGCCTTTGTTGAAAGAGCTGGCTGTCATAACACATGAGAATGCAAGCGTAGACCAGAAAACTTGAAAAAACTCACAGTATGTCTTCGCTGGTCCTTCGCATGGTTGTGCGTAGTCCGCCTAATTTCGGCGTCCGTCTGCCTTTGCCGTTCGTAACGCCTTTTTAGCGTCCTGAGATGGGCGATGAATGCTCTTTCAATCTTGATCTCGCTTCGACACTGATATACTTCCGCCGCGATGAAGTCCTTCACGAAAACCTTGGCTACAGACTTGTTCCAAGGAGTTGCCGCTGTCGCATTGAGGTCGATACGGAAGCATTCTGGACTACAGCAACGGCTGACACCGTCCCATGCTCGAATATCTTCCGGAGACGCTATACACGCTTCATCGATGGGCAAATTTCAGTTCTCACGCCTCATGAGAATCCTGGAATGCTCTCTGACCTCCTCCTAAAAATGATACATTAGCACTAGTTATGGGCTGCATGAATGCAATGATACGCACGGCAAGCTGATTTTCCACGGCAGATCGATGTTTGGTGAATCCGGCTTTTCGTCGGCGAAGAGGAGAGGGTCCTGGATCATCGCTCTCATCATCTCCGTCATCTCCACCATCGACGTTCATATCATCAGAGGGTCTACGCCCACTCCGTGGCACTGAGGACGAGGGATTCGCAATCTTGAGCGACAACGCTCGTACTTCTTGTACTAATTCGGCCACTGCGCCTGTGAGGGATTGAATGTCACCTCGAGTCGCAGTTGGGGGCTACGCAAGTGTGAACGTAGACTGTCAGCATGGAAAAAAAATACAAGGGCTTACGGCGCTTTCACCATCTCGCTCTGACTCCGGATCTGGTAAGCGCCCAGGTGTGGGATGAGACGCTGGTATTCTGTGCATCTCGGGTGGTAAGGAATGTCTCGGAGGCGATGTTGCATGGGTGATCCTTCCATCAGAGAGTCCCATCTGAACGTCAGGAGAAGAAGCTTGCATTCTCCACGGTGAGGAGATCCGCGATGGAAGCATCAAATTTGAGTTATGCAAATGACTCCAATGGTCGATCTTATGATGGGATGCTGTAGATCGTGCACTCTGTGATCTCGGAGAGGATAGAGGAGCCAGCTCATGCTGCCTTGAATTGGTATTCGCCCCAGCTGTTTCCGTGGATGAAGAATATACGCCACGAGCTGAGGAAGAGGCATCGAAATGATGAGTTCCAGATCGGTCATCACCGAGCCTTGTAACTTCGAGAAATGGCTGCTCGTCGAAGGGTCCCTGCCCGCGATGCGCCCGTTGATGGTGGCTCCGATGACTGGGATCAGCAATCTCTGAGCTTGTAGTGACTTGCCTCACGTCAGCGTTAGCGCGATTCATAGCAGTCTCTTTGATTTGAGGATAGTGAAGATGGGAAGACGGTGACGCAGAGGTAGGACCACCATTGGAGAGTGCAGCTGTCTCGAAGTTGAATAGAGATGAAGTATTATTTGGGATCGAACGTGCGTCCTCATGCCTAGGGATCGGGGAAAGTGAGGGATTCGAGAATACTAGATCATCCTCATCAGCCGATAAATGACTGAGGCCGAAAAGATGGTCAATGTTCGTAGCAGTGTCTGCTTCCATCTCCAAATGTTGTGAGTCTCATGGGACGGGTAGAGCATGTGTTAGCACTGATAAACATACCTCCATTTGACCTGAAGAGTCCTGAGTTCTGTCATACACTGTGTGCAGACGTGAGAGAGGCCTCCCCAATGAGTCTACGGGCACTTGTTCACCGACGATTCTAGCATCACTGGGCCTGTGTACCGAATGCAATTCAATCCAGATACATGCCGCTGAACAGACCACTAACCCACGCTCCAATGATCCTCCATGACTCCTGGTGTCGCCCTCATAAGGTGATCTGTTCTCGTCTCCGTTTTGCACAGTTGACATATTCTGATCATTCGAACGAGTGACCGGGAAGCAGAATGCAGATGCCCATCCGGATCCTGGGAGGTTCGAGCCCTAGTCATGCAGTTGTGTTGAAAGGCTTGTTATAAGCTAAAACATTGAAGTTCGCTCACAGCACTAGCCGAAGTACCTCGTATGAAATCAAGAGGTGTTGTTGCAAAATTTAGAGTAGTTGTCCCTCGCGCTGTCTATGCAATTATAAGCAAATGTGAACGATTTGAGCGGTAGGAGCTCACTGATTTTCCCCATCTTCTCGTGGATCCCTGGTTATTAGTCAATATTGTATTGTGGCTCCGAGCAAACAATGTGACTCACCCGTGCCTGTTGTTTTGAAGACCCATGTGACGGGTTGCTTCCGGAGGGGCCTTCATCGAGACCATTGGGTGGCAGAGCAACAATCATGCGAGTGCCAGCTATCATGCTCGATATCCGCCCTGCTTCACGCTCCTCCATGCTTCGTAAGGTCCCAGAAGGAGTTGACGGAGTACCAAAGGAAGTGATAGCAGCTGTGCAAATTTCATCCAACGTTCTACGACTGGCTTTGATACTAGGATCGTGTCGGTTGCGTAGAATCGCAACTGCAAGATCCTGTGCACTTGGACGGGTGTCTTCTGCACCCGTTCTTCGGAAAGGCGATGATGGGTGATCAGCATTCGACAGTTGCCGAGAATTGCTAGAATGCGGAACCGTTCCAGCCCCTTTGCTCTGCAAAGTAGTCGCCAGTCCAACTACCTCAACGCTCGCTGTAGAATGTGCCAAGTTAAAGGCGGACACTGGCAGTGGACAGGATCCAATCACAGATGTAGGCGGATGTGTATGCTCGGCAGGATGAACCACATGCGGTGATGAAGCACTAGCATCGACAAATGGTAAGGGAGACATAACAGACGCTCCGTTTCCAGCAAGCTGCGCAGAAGAGACCGCCAAACTTTCAGCAGGGGGTGCCAGTGCACTACCGCCGAAAGGTTCTCGATGTGGCACTCGCACTAGCATGTTGTCTGAAGACGGGGCAGCTGGCATCCGAAATGTAAAATCAAATGTCGGCCTCATCGCGCTGATTGAGATACCCCCCTCGCAACGGCCTTGGAGGTTAGCTCCCGGTGTTTCATCGGCGTCAGGGAGTCCGGAAGTGCCTGGGACAATACGTGCAGCAGCCATTGCTCGTGACACTGGGGAGCTATGATGTCAGGCAGACTGTAGTACGCGTCTTTTCTTCAAAGAACCCTCAGTGGGATGAAACGTTGTCGTGCGCACACCGTCTGTTGGACCCGCAGCTCGTCTTGTGACTTCCATTTCAGTGGATGTTGATGCCGTAGACGTCGATGTCATGGGCACTTGAGTAGCGAAGAGCACCTCCTCTGGATGTAAAGTTTCGAAGGGGGGTGCAGGCCTCTTTCTTCCTCGACAAGATGCCGAGTACCGGAGACCACCAGCCCCGTCTGAATGGCACTAAGTCCATCGTAAATTGTCAGGATAAACCACTGATCATCAGGGCCGCCGGGACTACCGAAGACTCTCCGTGACCCAGATAAGTCTATTTCTCGCTCTCTGGTCAGCCAGCAGTCTTTGAGCCACTTTGATGGGGGAAACATCATACCACAATAGGGCCTTGCTGGTATTTCGACACCCATATTGCCTTCCCTTGGTCCTACCGTGCCGTCGCTCTGGTCTAATGTAGTCGAGTATACTTAGGTGGTTTTCAATACCTTTCAGGAAATGGAAGCTAACCTGAGCTCTCGTCTGAGCTGTTGTGGATAGATTCTCTTGCAGAATGGAATCCTTCATCAGACATATCAGATTCTGGGCCACTGGAAGGCCCTGAAGCTATGGTTCCGATATTGCTGGACATGAAGGATGGACTACTGTGTGAAGAGCACCTTGATGAACTTGGCCTTCAATTATTTGTGCTGTCACTAACCTAGCAATCTGCGCAAACGACACTCTAGAGCTGGTACCAGTAATAGATATCGATCAAGGCTTGAGATGGTGCATGTGATGCACGAGGCTGACAGCGGTTGCTCCAAGGTCTATAAGTGGAGTTTGAACGGCGAAGCCAAGCTGTGAGAAGACTGTCTAATTAGCAAGGCAGACTTCGGAGGAAGTGAGCGTAGGCCATGAGTCTGATCTGTCAGCGCGTATCTGCATGGTACCAGATGCCTGAACTTTCGTGTGTCGGCCACGTCTATCGCTCGCTCACAGTCGAGCGCCATTCCCTGGGGTGGCTGAGCGCGAAGGCTGATGGGAAGAAGGACGTGAGAGCGGGCATGTGAACGCCCCGCCGCGTGTTTTCGGTGTGTTCAGTGCAGCGAAACTGCTCTATTCCCATTGCCGACTGGGGTCGGAACATGCGGGACCTGCTATCCTGCTGTGGAAGCCTGATTCGAAAATGTGAAGTTGCGGGCCTCGTAGCAAGGCGGCTCGTAGCTCCTTGATAGCCGTTGGCAAGTAAGATGGCCCCAAAATCACGGCGATACGACATAGGGTCTCCCTAGTGAGGTCTCTCGTCTCTTGAGACTTGCTGCGGAAGATTTGACTTAGGACGGTCAGTAGCCTAGCTATCTGTGGCTCGCGGGTCTCCCGGGGTAAATGCTTCACGACCTGGATGATACCCACGGCAATCGCTATCCTCAGAGTGTCCTCAGTTTCATCACGCTTCTCTAAGTGTTGCAGGAGCCTTGGGACCAGCCGATGGTTGACCGCATCTGCAATGCGTGAGATCATTTGGTCCTTGACCTTGACCGATGTGGATTCGGTTTCCTCATCGACAGCGGTGTCCTCATTGTCTCCTCCCCTCTCCGACTCCTCAGCTGTGTCAGGGACAACCTCTTCCATCTGGAAATGGAAATTGTCCAGGATAGCTATGAGCGCGTGGACGTATACCCGCTCAGACTCATCCTTGGCGCTAAATAGTTTCAGATAAGTCTGCGTGAGGGCATAATAAGCTCCCCAGTTGAGGTGCCGCGCCATCCGTCCAGTAGCTGTGATGCGCTCGTTCACAAGAGTATGGTCTATCGACATCTTAGCAACTATGAAATTGCCTATCAGAGCGATATAGTCATCCGGGTACCAGACCGCCAGATCACCCGTGCCAAAATCGCCTCCTCGGAAAGCCTTTCTCGTGGCCTCGGGATCTTTGAGTTACTGCGATCGGAAAAGATGAACTAAGTGAAGTGAGAAACAACGTCGTCAAGGTTCATTACTCACCTACTTGATATCTCCGACAGTCTCGCCGTCATTCCAGAACATCAACTAGCTCAGAGTTTATATCGATCATCTCGCCCTCCTTCGCAAGGTACAAAACACGCGCTTTATCAGAGGAAACGAAGGGTATTCCTTGGCGAGTCATATACACAGCGCGATCTTCCAGGGAAAGTGTCGCCCACGAAGGTTGCTTATAACACCTAGTGAACGGTCCATATGTCTAGTTATCCGGGTAGGCCACACATATTAAGCATCATGATCTTCAATGAGTTCGAATCGCACTGACCTCATTGAAAAAAAAGCCAGAGCTCAGCGCATGTTATCAAAGGGCGATGCTCACGTCAAACCATACACGTGAAGAGGTTTGAGATTTCTCTCTTCCATTATTTCTAGTAAGTGTGCGGTTGGCGCTGACCCAGCGGTAATAGCAAGGACGGGTTTGCTTAGCCGTCTCGCCTGGGAAGCACTGACCAGAACAATCTATAATGACAACTGGCACACGTGAACTCTATGCGCCCCCTGTCGGAGCAGTTTAATGTCTGCATAGGAATCGAACCTAGAGTGCGTATGCACCTGCAATGCGGAAGCAAATGTCTCTGCCCGTGGGAACATCCACCAGATGCATGGAACATTGAGAGGATCCTAAGACAGTGCCACAGCGCGCTGAGGAACGAGGATGGCGAGGATCAAAACGCCTACCATAGGCAAGTAGAGTCTCGGTTCATGCTACATGTTCCAGAAGGTCATGTCGCGATCGTTAGGTGGGACGACTGGTTCTGCGCTCACCCTGTTTAATAGGCGTTTGCGATAGCCGCGAGATATGAACCTAGTAATATGTCAGGTTTGCGAATCGTATGCCTGTACTGCAGTGTAAAGCTCACCTCTGAGGGTGGCGACCACAGTGGCTGCTGCTGTGTTGTCCTTTGGTTTCGAGTGTGACTGTATGCTTGAGACTTTATGATAACAACCATTCCCGCAAACTGCTATACAACAGATAACAAACTTGTTCGGATGCATCGTTGAGGGCCGTGGAAGCAGGCGTAAAGGCCAACAACATAGCTAGCATCTCCAAGATCTCATCATGCGGCAACGCCCTCAAGTCAACACAATCATGTCCTGCGCGAGGCACAGATGCCGGGATCAACGAAGATCCTGCTCCTGCAGCTGTGTTCCAACGACATCGCGGTTGTCATCCAAAAGCTGAATTATAGTTAGGACATGGACCTGCTGATAACAGCTTCGCTATACGTACCGTGAGACAATCTGATGCCAACCGTATATTCCATCCTAGTTGGCATCAAAACTCCGTCATTCTATGATGCAATGCTATGTCAGGCATCTGCAAGAAACTTCCAGATCCTATGCACGTACGATCGCGATATCCTCATAGATGCCACGCCAAAGAGTTCAGCAGTACCCTTGATGCACTCATCGCCTACTAGTATGGGGATGAGGACAACATTGTCGCCTTCCCAGGTGATGTCTGCGACAGTGTCTCCCTCGGCATCCTCCGCGAATGTCATGTCAAGCTCAGACGGGATCATTGGACATTTCTCCAAGGCTCGGATTGAGGTGGAATTGCTGTTGCTTGCTTGCGATCCGGAGCGGGTGAGCCGTGGGCGATGTGTTTTAGTACGGAATGCGAGATCGCCGACTGCGTCGTCAAGATTCGTGGACTGGAAGACGTCTGTGGCCATAAATTTGCGCAGCATATCGGGATCTGGCTGATAGAGGTGGCTGATGCAGGACATGGGATGGTTGCGAGTATGATGGCAAATCATGAGTTTCAACAAGGTCATTTCCACCTTAGATAGGCGGGATAAGCGAGAGCTACGTGCGCCCTATAACGTGCGAGGTTCTCCCGGTCTGGAATACGCCACTCAGCCGGAAGGTCCGCACACATAGTTGAAGGTCCGCACACATAGTTGGGAACGTCCGCGGTCGTCATATTTCTATCGAATCGGAAGAGCTTGGTCCCGATGACAATTGCGCGTGCATAACGCGCGTGAAAGGAAAGCCGCATGGATTGCACTACTAGGCCAGAAGAGGCCATGAAGGACCAAGTGAGGTGCGGAGATCATGATGACGGCCGAATCCGCTGATCGATCTCGATCATCTCCTAACCGGCTCGGAGCTGCAGACGACCAGCAGTGAGAAACGTGATCGCATCTGGACAGCCCATATATACGAGTTGCCGGCAAGCGCGTCGCGTAGCTGGGAGTTGTACTGCATATATGCATGCTAGCGGACAGATATGGAGAGAGGACTGGGGGTGTGAACGAGTGGCTTGATGAGCTGGACAATGTAATTTATCTGTGAGTTTCCGTAAGATGACAACATCGGCGTGATGAGAGCACAGTGACTGGCCTCTATATCATAGGTGAACACAGCAGAACCATTTCCAGTGAACGTATTCGGACCTACGCACATGGGCACGGTTATGGCTGGCAGCCCGGGCCGCCAGTTCGAATTGAGTTCCCGCATCATTCGGGGGAGCATCGTGCTCAGCTCCCGAGTCGTGGCAGGGTTGCGTGAAAGCTGCTCCGTGCGGCCGTCGACGCGGGCCAATGCGTTTGCATGCTCGCGCGTGGAATTCTGCAGCGCCTACGTGGATTGCTGGAGTTGCGCCTCGAGCTCCGTAATTCGTTGACAGTGCTGATCGTTGTTCCTCCGGAGCTGGAGAATGGTATTTTCGAGGTCCGAGGTGCAGGCACGCAGCTGGTCCTCGATCGCGGCACGCGCTCTGCGTCCCTCTTTAAGTCCGACGAGGTGTGCCTGCAATTCTCCAGTGATGCACGTCAGTGTCGCCGCCGTCTCTCGCCGTTCCTCCTGCACCGTGCTGAGCGTCTCCTCGAGCTTGTTGTGCGCGATGCGCTCTGCTTCTAGCTTGGATGTTTTGGTATCAAGCTCGGCCGCTGTCTGCGCTAGCGTGTCCTGCAAATCTTGGTTGGCCGACTGGGTGGCAGTCAGTGTCTGGTGGATGCATGCCAGGGAAGCTCGTATTGTGTCCAGCTAGGACGCCTTGGTCTCGAGCTCTGCTGCGGTGCACGATAGCGCATCTTGCAAGTCTTGTTTGGCCGACTCTGCGATAGACAGCGTCGCTCGGACGCTTGCGAGAGCAGCACGCGCTGCATCTGTCTCGCAAATCTGTGCTTCCAGTTCTGCTCGAACGCTCGCGAGAATAGATTTGAGCTGTTGTTCCTCTTGCTGCGACGCACATAGCTCTCGCTCCAGCCCGGCCTGGAGATCGCGCACGGCGTCAGCTTCAGCGATCCTCTCTGCGATCTCTCGAGTTTCATATATTGCCCCTCGATCTTCTCGCGTATTGCGCGGTCCGTCTCTATCTCCGCTGTCTTCACGTCGAGCGCTCTCACATTTGCAGATGCGCAGTCTCCAGCTCTCGCTTCTGCTTGTGGGTGTCATATAGCTCCTTTTCGATCGCAGCCCGAGATCGACGTTCTGCATCTACTTCGGCCACCTTAGACTCTGTCAGAGCTGTTGCATTCTCCAACTGACGCGCAATCATCGTCAGTCCAAGCAGCAGCCATTATCTGCTACGATACTCACCTCTCTTTGCACGGCCGCGAACCCGTTCAGCGTCTCGTTAAGCTCAGCTCGCGTCGAAGCGAGCCGTTGTTGTGTGCCAGATAGCTCCTCCTCGGCCCTTACTTTCGCTGCCTCAGCAGTCGCTTTGGCCTCTTCGGCCTCGAGCAGAGCTGACTTCTGAAGCTCGATCGTCGCTGATGATGAACGTATTCGCTCTTCCAGGGAATCGATTGCTTGAGTTCGGGTCTCAATCGTGAGCGCGGCTTCTTGGAGCTAGGTCGCCCCACGTCAGAGAAGGCCCGCATTTCATGAGAAGTATTGCACCTTGCCACGGAGAGCTACAAGAGTCTCGATGTCTATGAAAGAACCTGTCTCGTGAGCTAGAGAAGGTTCTTCGCTGCTATGCTCTCCTCTCTGAAGAAACAAAAAGTTGATTTCAGTTCTCCTGCAAAATTTGTAGGAGGCCTGAAGAGTGGTGCGCGTAAACCGTGCTGGATGGATACGGAAAGCAGTACCACATATATGGGACGGAATGATCACGAGTTAATATTTCAGCAGGCATCACGGAGCTTCATATACGGGATTTCATGAAGAGGTAGCTGCGTATAACCGAAGAGAGGGAGAAATGAAGCATCGATGAATTGGCCAACGTCGAGGTCTGCGCGCCTAATGCGACGTGATAGCCACATGACTGTATGTACACGTGTACTGCGCCTACACGCGGAATTCGTCGTCCGTGTTCCTTCGTTCTTGCGTTGTATTGTACTGATTCCGCCACCGACGGGCTAACCACAAGCCCTCTCTCTCTTTCTCTTCTCTGTCGTTCTTCCTGAATACTCTGGACTAATCGCTGGTACTCTCCGGGCGACTTGTACCGCCAAGGTGCCAGGAAAGGGCCTCTTACGTGATCCTACACGCACAACCTTATTCTCCAGTTGAGCGCTCGTCCAGCTCTCATCTTCTCTTGGCCACAGCGCAACTTGGTGGCTCGCCTGCACTCTGCTCTGACTCGTATCCTGCTTTGAGCGACATTACTCTAGACAGAAAACTTCGTTTCGACATTCCGCGAGAAATCCACCTTGTGCATGAAACAAGGTCGTGAAATGACAGACTCGCTGTACACCTCTTACGTTGAGGTGCTCTCGCTATGCACAGAGTCCAAGGACGACCTTCACAGAATATTGGACCACGAGCAGGGTTTTGCCGCACGCATGCACTGCCTATGCAGAGATCAGTTGAGTTCATCTGACCTTTGTCTGCTTTCGCCCCAGATTTGCCCAGTCTGTTGCGGGGAAGCCACCACAGGAACCGTTGACACCAGAGTTGGAGGCGCTAAAGATGGAGCGTGATATCTGGGCGCTGGTGCAGATGTTGATGTCGTGAGTACCGCCTGGTTTGTTTTTGATGCTCGCCGTCGCTCGCACGGCGCACCAGGTGGGATGCCGTCTGTGGTGTCCTGGACCGCGTAACGGATGAGCCTTGATTTGGGGCGGAAAGTGCCCCGCATCGGTCTTGGAAGAGTCTCGATCACAGTGCACCCAGATATCGCGAAGGATGCCTGCTAACCTTCACCCGCAGACACCGCAGGACAACCAGCCGTCCACGCACCGATGCTCACCGTCTGCTCCAATCCAACCCTTACCCCCCCATCCATGCTCGCCCAGTCGATCATCGCTGCGCCCCCAGTGCCTCAGAGCTCTTCGTCGTCTGCGAATGGCTCCAACAAACCGCGCCCGTGCCGGATGTGTCGAATGCGGGCGCGCTCAATGGCTACTGGCGCTTCATGAAGATCGCGATCATGCAGGGTCTGCAAATGGGCCAGCGCACCGCGGGCATCGTCACGGAGATGGACCCCGACGCGGTCAACCGGGGTGGTGCGGATGCTAGGGGGCTAGGGGGAGATGACGCGGTACGGTTTGCGGTAGCGCTGCGTTCTCGCGTGTGAACTGACGTGGTTCTCCCAGAGTGATGAGAAGGAACTCTGACATATGCTGTTTGCGCTTGTGTGTGCAGGTCGATTGGCAGAAGCCGCTCAACTGTGCCGTAGAGCGAAACAGCCGTGGCGGGCGGCGAGCATCAACGGGTCGCTGCTGCTTCGGTGGGGTGCACTCAGTAATCGGCACATTCGCACTGTGCGGGACATGCTATCTGAAACCATAGCAGCGAAAGGATGCCCGGGCGAAGAAGACTCGGCGGACAGCATGGATCTGGACGAGGGATGGACCAGCAACGTGCGCAGGAAGCTCTGGAAGACCACATGCATGCGGGCCGCGCTGAACGTACATTTCTCACTGCAGACCGTGAGATGCAAACCGAAGGCTAAAGAAACGCGTGTTGTAGCCAGCACTGTCGACGACAGAGCGCGCTCTGTACGCCGCTCTCGCCCCTTCACCACAGACTGCGGTGTCGTTGAGAGCGGTGTGCCACACGTGGTTGGACCAACTCTGGGCAGCCATGTCCGTTGCGTGCGAGGACCGGTTGACGACGGCATTTGCCAGCCTGGAGCATGAAAGTTTCTGGGAAGGTGGCTTGGCTGCCGTCGATTCGATGGAGATGCCTGAGAGTACTGCGGAACTGCATAGCATGGAGGTGGACGGTGCGGTTTGGGAGCAGGAAGTCTTCAGTGCACTCGAGTAGCTGCAGAACACCACCGTTGAGGAGGGGTGAGCGGGTCGTTCTGAGTAAGGTGATGTTAGTTAACTAACATTTGCGTGGCAGGCCTCCGGCGGATAACCCTTTCCATGTGACCCAATTGCAAGTGATTCTCAACTGCGCCGATGCGCTGATGGACGGATACGCGAAAGAACTGCAAGCCCAAAGTCTTGACGCGAGTTCTACAGAGTGAGTGTCCGCGAGTGTGAGTTGGCAGAAGCCAGGGGTCGAATTAATATTGGAATTGTGTGTGCAGGTATCCCGCGATGACGCGGTTCTTTGCACATTTGTGCCTGTACTTTCGCATGGTCGACATCGCGGTCTCGTCAGACGTCGTTCAAGTCATTTTGGAAGCATCTGCAGGTGCTCGAGGTCCGTATACTTTATCAAAAAAAAAACAATTCTCTGTGTGATCGTTGTGCTGAACATGTAACGACATAGGCGAGAGGCGAACGCGAACTCATCGCGATGTACGCCGCCGCGATGGGCACAGACGCAGTAGATCGCTACGCGTCATTCCTCACCTCGCTCGACGTCTCCGTCAGCATCGCGGACCGGCGAGCGGCCCTCGCGCGCGTGCGCGACCACGGGCTCGACATGCAGCGAACAATCACCATGACGATGGAGGTGCGTTCTTGCTCTAGCGTGTTCGTGAGAGTTGGTGAGGTTGATTGTTTGGTTGGTTGGTTGGTTGGTTGGTTGGGCGCAGCAATTACCTAGGGCTGAGGGATCGCTGCCGAGTGCGGAGGAGATGGCGGCGACGCCGTCGGATGTGGAGATGATGCTCGTGTGTGCGATTGAGTGGACAACATTTATGGAGTCTACGTATACATTCGCGCTCGAGCGGACGAACGCTATCCTGCGTTACCTCCTCGGTAAGCCCACGCCTCAACGCTCTCGCCGCCGCTATCATTACTCTTACTAAGCTTCTTTTGGCAGCAAAGGGACGATTGCAGCCGTCTAGGAGGCTGATTAACATGCTTCCGCGCGAGCTGGCGCAGATTAATGAGCCTGATCATGAAAAGGACGCGATGGATTATTTGCATTATCAGATGTTTTCGGCTTCTATTTCATAGCAGGTGCTCCGCCGACTTCAAAAGCAACTGAAGAACTCTCCTGTCGCATCGGCTTCATTAACGAGACACAATGTACGTGTTGCCACAAGTTGGCCTTCCGCACTTGCCATAAACTCAGTACGATCCTTCGCGGCTCCGCTGCAGACTAGGTCATCAGACAGAAAAGTTGCTAGTCGTGCTCAAAAGACTTCGACCCACTTTGTCGCAGAAATCTACGACGTGTTATCTACTCCGTGCGTGAGGAATTCCTAAGTACATGATGCTTAGGTTGTCATGACGATGCAGGAACCTGGCTTCTCCGTCGAGACGTGAAGCGATTGTATCCGCGCAGAGCAGATAACACGCCGCGCCATACGGAAACTCTGATTTACCCGTGCATCACGACCTGGCCTGATGTCTACAGTAGCCGTACCCTGCTTCGCGAAATCTCCATTCAAGAGCTTCTAGTAAGCGACCTATGGTCAAAAAGAATTCATACAGACTCTGATGTGGAATACTGGACTTCGACTCGCGGATACCGGGACTGTGGCTTATTTCTCCGACGCCTTAACGAATCTCTCGTGGGTTGCACCTTCCCCTGGACGAGCCAATGTCTATAATGAGTTGTCCAGTTGTTCTATCTTTTTATGGCGCAGGCGACAACATTGATGGTTTCTACACTGCACGTGCTAGAGCGTTGGATCGATGAAATTCTTCCCCTACCCACTCCGTAGTGATTCGATAACCTTGGGGCAGATGCCTGGAAACCGTACGTGTCTCTTACACCCTTTTGTGAGATGCCTCGTCTAACGGTCACATAGGAAGCCGATGTCCTTCTCATTTCATCAATCCCTGCGGAGCTACACCCAGCCGTTGTCTCACCTGCACAAACAGCATTAAGAGTCACCTTAGCACAATCTGTACAGCCACTTACTTGTGCAACGATCTTGGGATCCGGGTTGAGTTCCAGTAGGCGTCTGGTGAACCGTGCAGCTGTGACGTGATTATTCGTCTTCGCTCAATTTCGAGAGTCACACCGAGGAGGTACTCTCGGGCGAGCGTGACCATATCGCGCCACTACAAATACTCGACGTTGTGCTTAACCGCAAAACCGTGAGAAGAGACATACCCCCTTTGCCTCATCATCAGAAGATACTGGGACTAGAAGAAGCTCCCACAGAACAGATCGGTACACCATCCGAGTCTCTGGTAGCTTGCTGCCAGACAGGAAGCGCAAACCCTCAGTGAGCTCGTGCCGGACCGATTGTAGCGTCCGCACAGCTATGGGTAGAACACGGCTTGAAGAAGACTCTTGCGGATCATGCCTTAGATGTAGTTGCAACGGCGGCAACGAGGCCATTGGCGAGAGATACGCATGGACAGAACGATATGTGGAAACGAACAAGGACTTGATATGCGAGAAGTTGACCACTCCGAATTGACGATTCAACAACTGCAAAAAATAGGCATGATGGTGCAAGCGAAAAACAAGAGCCTAAACTCACCTGCATGGCGTGTCGAACGAGCATGCTGCCACATGGTCGCCAGCGAACGGGAAGTTTCGTTACCAGAGTGCTATCTCACTAATGCCAGACGAGGCACCAGCACCTAGTTCCGCATCTTCCAAAGTCTGTGTTTCTGGTGCTGGCTCCTACTGATACGCTTTTTCAACGATCTAGGCAGTAAACGTCACCTCATCTGCCGACATGTAGCTCATGATTGTGTTCACCTTATGGTTCCCTTGCTTCAGTGCCTGTTGAGCCAGATGCTCCCAGCAGTCAGGCCAGTTAATCGCCTTCGCCATTTCGAATGCAACATCTAGGCTACTGCACTCGATAGCTAGATCAAAGCGAGTGCTTTTGTCCTGGACGAAGTGTAATGCAACTAGTTATACAGTCACTATGAAACAAGAGTCGATGTTGCTCAAGGTCGTCTCTATCAGTTGCCGCTCGACATTGAGCCAGTCGAACGGAGCAGGGCTGTTGCTCGTTTGATGCGAGGGACTGTTTGCGAGATGGATCGCCGAGGTGGATGTCTGCAGATCTGTGGCATTGGAGATGGGTTGTGGGCCGTAGGGGCCAGATGCGCATAGTTCTCGGGTGCCAGCAAAAACCCAAGCTCGTACCAGTATCATCTCTAATGCGTAGTAGTGAGTAAAATTGAGAAAAACAAGTGCCGGGTACGCCGGCCTCTCCCAGACTTCGCAGAGTTCAGGAGGATTGGCGGCCACGAGCACGTGACACGCGTCCTGCGAGACAAAATACCTGTCCATGGCAAGTTTCGATCTACCTACCTTTTACTTTTGTGTCAGTGAGCACGATGCTGAGTGCAGGGTAAACTTACTAACAAACAGCTTCGTGTCCAGTGCTCTAATCTGCTGCTCGAGCAAGCTGACCAACTGCAACGCACACAAACGTGCTCGTTATGATTCCTTACCTCGTGGTAGCAACGGTGAGTTGATCGGGTCATGGCAGCAGGCGCAGCGTTTTGGGCCTCCATGGTAGTGATAATACATTAGGAGTCTCCAGTGCACCGAACTTGATACACTATGTCGCCAATGTCTATGGATATGAACGAAAAATCTAAAGCGACGTTCCCCCAGGGTAAGTCTCTAGCCTCCTTCACAAGTAACAGCTTGCATACAGCAGATACGATAGCTGCTAGCGATGCGAAAGCCGGATCATCATCGATGAGCGAACACCGGTCGCGCAGATGACATAAAGCTCCTTCTGAGCTGGACACAGCCAAATGTGAGTGCATTTATTCGAATGCTGACCGATTCGCTCATCATCGTGTTACAACTCTTCTCGCTGTTCAACCCAGTCATCAGTCGCATACAGCTGAGGAGCCTAGGCCTAGCAAGTGTCCTCGCCAGTCATCGCCTATGGTTTCGAACGATAGTAGGTGCATTAAAATCTATATAATCAGGGCATGCTGAAAGTCGGTCCACAGTAAACAACATCTCTGATCCTCGCCTGTCTGGTGAGGCCAAGGCTCGTGTATATCCACGCCATTCATGGCCCGTTGCTATCCATGCTTAGGATAGCAGACTTCTTGCAGGATTGTCTAGCGTGCGAAATGAGCCAGCCAAGGTTCAGCGAGCTGTCGTTTCGCTTTATGGAGATTGAGAAGGTATTGTTGGACGTCTGCGCACTGCTCTCTCCTTCTCTGTCTTATTTGACTGACGATGTTTGTCAGCGCTCCGGATGATGTCTCGAACCCAGACAAGATTGAGGCGCTATTGCAAGACATTCGAGACGCTCAGCAGGTAAAGAGGCAAGTTGGTTCCCAGCAGTCAGGCCCTTCCATTCTACAGTCGCATAGTCACAGCTCGAGGACGAGGCGTCCTCGATCTGCTGATACAGATGGAGACACTGCAGCCCACAAGGTGAAGGGCAAAATCTCTCTACTCAATCTATTCAAGAAGAGTGCTAGCGATGCCGCTACCCCCGACACATCATCTAGCAACCTCTCCTCAAATAAAGCCAGCGCGTTGTCGTCGTCGTCTCCGTCTCCAGTCCCTTCTCCCTTCACAACTTGCTGACCTCACTTCAGCATTTTTCACCGACACGTCGTCCAGTGCTGTCGATCTATCTGGGGACGGCTCACCCATTGACGTTAGCACTTGCAAGCTTACACGGGGGTGATTGTATAGCGCAGGCGATGTGCTGACCACGCTGCAATCTTCACCTTCCAACGCTCTGCATCGTGCACAATCGGACGACCGCTTGAGGGCCCACTTGAATCCAGTGAGCTTCATGTCACTCGACGCTAGCGGTGCAGCAGCTATGGTCAGCACTGGACGACAGTCGACTCGACCTACCATCCTGCGTCCGCACCATAGATCGGTCTCTTCTGAGCAAGCGCAGATAGGCATGGGTCGCTCGGGCTCCGTGGGACCACCTTCAGCACGCGCTTGTCGCTTTGACTCGACGTTCTCTGCGGCTTCCGCTATATCCAAGCGCCACAACTTGCATCGACAAGCAAGC